CCAGGTTGATGCTGATGAGTGGCAGAGTGGGGAGCAGGAGGTGCACATGGAGTGCTGCTTTGCTGCACTGCCCGAGGATGTGTGCGTGGACAGAGAGCAGGGGAGAGGGAGGGGATGAGGCTCTTCCTTGAGTTTCAGGTTTTCCTTCCTTCTGTACAAAGCTGCTTGGACGCCTCTGAGCCTGGGTGGCACGTGCAGGAGCCACAACCGAGTTCAGGCTACCAGCTGCTGGTTTGGTAGCATCAGTCTGAGCTCCTCAAAAGCCACCGCTCAGCTGTCCCCTCGCTCTGCCCTTACATGCCAAAAGTCCTGGGCGTGCCGAGCAACAGCAGCAAGCAGCTCAGTAACTCGGCTGGTCCATATCCCACAGGGACTGGTGGCATTTCTCAATCAAAGGCCTTATGTGACAGTCATTCCCAAAACACACATGTACTGAATCAGATTCTTCATGAGCACAGCTGGAAGGGGGTTGCCAGAGCCTGTCTCCCTTGCCCCCAGTCGCCCAGTAGTTGCAGCATGCTGGGAAGGAGGGAGAGGTAAGCTGAAATCCCCTTGGGCAGGAAAAGGAGAGGAACTATGTTTTTCTTGCTCTAATTACCTACTCTGGATAAAAGGTGGCTGCATCCTGCTTACTGTGCTTGGTGAGGAAGAGCTTATGCCAGCCTTGATTCCAGGAGGGACTTCTCGGCAAAGCAAAGAAGAAAGAGGGAGTAAGAGAGAGCTGCAGAGAGATGAAGCTTAGGGCATTTTCTGCTGGCAGACCCCAGCAGTCAGATCTGCTCTCAGCAGGCTGATACTCATGGACCATCCCTTGCATGTGGTATGCATGAAGTATGCAATGGACTGTCAGTTCTGTTTGACAGCAAGAATGGAAGAATCGGGTAGAACAGCTCACTACATTGCTACGCCTAAGCCATAGATACATACAGACTTGAAAAACATACCCCAGACTCGCTGACCCAGAGGCTTAAGTTGAAATGCTCTGCCTGGCATGCATCAACATGGCTGTTTATAATCACAAGTGAACAAGCACTCATTGTTAAAAGATGTGGCTTGCTTACTTCTGGAGCTGAGTGCAGAAAAAAAATAGGTTTATTTTTCTTTTGAATATCAGTCGTGTTCACTGAGTTATATATTCACTGCATAATATTTGATCAGATGCAGAACAAACGGATCGTGACCAAAACAACCCCAAACTTTGCCATGCTAAAAACTCCCATGTAAAAGTATCTCGCCAGTAAAGTGTATCTTCCCCCCTCGTTTCAACTGTGTAAGCTTTTGCCGCACATGGTGCACATGCATACATATCACTTGGTAATAAGCACCGTGACCCTGCTGACCTGACAGAGCAAATTTGAACAAACAGGAAAAAAAAAAATTACCAAAATGAATCAAATAGATTAGAATTTATATCCTCATTTTTATATCTCATCACTGTTGTTCCAAAGGGAGAGCCTCCCAGTAAGAGAGACCATAATAACACTCAGCAGCTATCTTTATTTACCAATTCACGTAGTACTTCCATTCCAAAGCCAAACTGAGTATTATTTGCAGTGAGTCACAATATTAACATGAAATCGGATTGTATGCGGTTACTCAAGCTGAGCACTATCCAGAACTCAGGGCAGGACAGATCTGCAGAGTCACCCTCTGCAGATGGCTGTTTCTGCCCCGCTAACTGAAAAGGGAGTGCGTAGAGGGATAGAGTTAGTCATCCAAGTCCAAAGGCAGGTGATGTGAATCCCACCCCTCCTAATTTTTTACTGCTTAGTATGTGTATGTGCTGTTTTCCAGTCATTTACGCCTGAGGGGAGAGAGAGAGGGAAGAAAAACGCTCTGCTTTTGCTTCCCCAGGAAAACTCCTGGGGGAAATACCTGAAGCAGCTGACACTTTTAGTCTTAGCAGGGAAGATTTTCCCAGAACAGAGTTAGCTTTTCTTTGCTTAACTCGTGGCATTTTACCTAGGTAACAAACCAGAGGGTGGAGGAATAAGGACATACCTTGCAGGTGGAAGTGTGATTTGTAATGAGACCTCACTTTCATTTCTTTCACGTTGCAGGGTTGCGTCCAGCCCCTTCTCCCTTTGCTCCACGCAGCAAGTCCAAGAGCTTTCTGGCCTCTACAGGGGCCCAAATCAATACAACAGCTAAAGCTTTCACGGCAGCAGGGCTTGCACTCCTCTTTGAAATGAGCTTGTTTCCTGGCTCTTTGCAGGCACGGCCTTTATATCTGACAAAATGTTTTCATTTCCACTGGGATCCTGTACATGGAGATCTCTAGAAATAGAGTCGTGTCAAGTACCATATTTGCTTGAGAGGTTGGACCATGCTTCTAAAATACATAAAATAAAAGTAAAAGAAGCAGGCTAAGAGCTGGGGCTCCATAACCCAGCAACATGAGGAAGCGAGATTGGTGGGAGCAGGATTAACTGCTTTGGTTTATCCCACTTGGTGTTGCTGGTGCCAAAAATTCTTGACAGTATTTTGTGCATTCACAGTCTTTCCACACCAAACTTCCCAAGCTGTAATTTCAGTTTTTCTTTTTCCTTTGTTATTTTGTGTGCTCATCCTGCTCTTTCACTCAAAAGCTACTCATCCAAGGATTTGTTTGTAGGAAACCCCGGGAGACCACATCCCAAAATAGGTGAGACTCCGGGTATTCATAGTCAGGGAGTTTGGTGTTCAGTTGTGGACCATAGTTTGCCCTGCCTGTTTGTTTTTCAGCTTAATTTGTGTATTTAAGAGGGAGATTAAAAAACACATGCTGCATTGTTGTAATTCAGAATAGATTTGAATGTATGTCCCTGCAGCAGAGCAGCTCCCTTCCATGCACAGGTCCACCCGGGCTGACAGATCAAGGAGGGGAACAGAGCCTTTCTCCTCTCCTGACAGCAAGTAATAAACCCCTTCACACAACTTCGGCATGTCCTTACTGAAATGGCGGGTTGGTTGGGGCATTACTTCAGCTGCTGCTGATGGCATCAGGCCCCTGGATTCCCCCCGTCTGGCTGCAGCATGGCCCGCGGTCGGAGCATTGCAGTTAATTGTAAATTGCCCTCCACGCTGGAGAACACACACGAGTGGATATGCTTAACACTGTCCAACTCCATCAAATCCATTCTGGTGCTTTGAGGCCCTGAAGATACACATCCTTCCAGAAGGAAGTTGGAGGTCTTGGGATCCTCCCTCTAATTTGAGAGAGACCCTGGGTTTGTCCTCTTGTAGCACCTTGTCAGCTTGTGTTCACCTTACCACATTGGTATCAAGATGATCCCAGCAGTTACCACTTGGGAGGTAACTCTTGCCATGGAGCAGACAGGGCTGGTGGACGCCACGCTGGCGTCCGTGCAGGCTCAGGCAAGGCCCCAGCTGCTGAAGGTGCTGTCTTCGTGGTGAGCGAGACATCCCCATGCCTGCCGTCACAGAAGCCAGCTCTTCAGGAGCACTGGCCACACAACACTTGGTGAAAGCTATTTCTGCAGGGTAGGTCACTTCATTCAGGTCTCCCGGGGCTAAGCCAGCGTCTTAGCCTTGCGCAGGACACCCCGACCTGCTCTGGATTAGAAAATTCTGGGGACTCCGAGGAATTGACCAGTTTTTATCAAATAGCTCAGGGGAGACATAAACAGCCTGGAGCAGCCTGGAGCAGCGGCTCTGTGGTTTCCCTTCTAGCATACTGTAGGGGTGATTTGGGGTGAAGAGCAAGGGAAGAATGTAAATCATCATTGTCCCAAATACACAGGACCAGGCATGTTGTCCTCCTCCTCTTCCCTTTCCCCTTCACCCTCCATGGCTACAGGGACTCTGGACAAGGAGGACGGGGAAAATGGTGGAGAGCGGGTCTGCATTAGTGATTGGTGAACCGCTAACAGCAACCAGGGCGACACACATCCCTGTGATCTGGGAGCTGCCTCGTGATGGCTGAGCTACCTCGCTGGAGGAGGAAATGACTCACGTTCCCGTGGCCGGCTGGCCTCGGCAGCACCCTGCAGCGCCGCAGGGGCTAGGTGCAATGAAAAATTGAACTTACAGCACAGACCGCTTTCCTTACTGCAAAACATTTGCTTTTGCTTCAGAGTTACCCTTATCTAGGTTTTTCTATTAAAAAAACCCCAACAGACTATCGAAACCCCAGCTTGTATGAGAAGGAGGGCACGGAGGTGTGGGGAGGGATGAGTGTGCCGCCTTCCACTTCCCCTTCAGCAGAGATCAGACTATTTTCAGAATGATGCATCTTGTAACTGGAAGCACCGGCAGCCCCGGCATAGCTGGGGTAATGGAGGAGGGGCTTGGCTTTTGTGGGTTTATTCACAGAGCGGGTGCTTTTTTCTTTTCTTTTTTTCCCCTTTTTGTCACACAAGGAGGACCAGAACAGGCGATACCGACTCTGTTTTGTTCCTGCCTCAGCTCTTGCCCAAAATGGCGTTGTGGGGTGCGTGTGTCCGTAACTAATCCTTGAGAAAGCAGGCGTGCAGTCAGAAACAGGAGGCTTGCTCCCAAGACCACAGATCTCCTCCCTGAGCCTGCACCCAGCCCAGCATCAGTTAGCTCCCTGCTGCCAGCACCGAGGGGGACAGAAAGGGGGGGGGTCCTGGTACCCTTCAGCTGTCACAGCATGGTAACTCCTGAGCAGGTACTTATACCCACCTAAGAGCAGGTTCAGACCAACCGGCTTCCTTTACTATGGGCATGCAGTTACACAGGTAAAAAGCACAGCTGTAATGGAAGAGCTGGCTCTGCCTTCACGGGCTTCCATTGCTGCAAACTGAACTATCCCAGTTTAGATCAGGTTGTTGCAAAGTGGGGTCAGAAAGTTTGAAAATTTAACTTAAAAAGGTAACAAATGGAAGTGAGGAGTGGTAAGGAGATTACTCGTAACCTCAGGTTGCATTAGGAGCGTCTCACCTGTGCGTACGTTCGCTACTCAGCCTCACCGCAGTGCAGATGTTTGCAGCTTCACCATTTCCCTCTTATTTTCCTCTCTTCAGAGCGAGCTGGAGATGGTGGACCATCTTGCAAACACCGAGATCAACAGCCAGCGCATTGCTGCTGTGGAAAACTGCTTTGGGGCTTCTGGACAGCCTTTAGCCGTGCCGGGAAGGGTCCTTCTAGGAGAAGGGATTTTAACCAAAGAATGCCGCAAGAAACCAAAGCCTCGCATATTCTTCCTTTTCAACGACATCCTCGTCTACGGCAGCATAGTCATCAACAAAAGGAAGTACAATTCCCAGCACATCATTCCCCTTGAAGATGTCACTTTGGAGACGCTGCCAGACACCTTGCAGATGAAGAACCGCTGGATGATTAAAACCTCCAAAAAGTCCTTTGTGGTTTCCGCGGCCTCCCTCACGGAGAGGAAGGAGTGGATCAGCCATCTGGAGGAGTGCATCAGGCACCTGCTGACAAAGACGGGCCGGCAGCCCTCCACGGAGCACGCGGCCCCCTGGATCCCAGACAAGGCGACGGACATCTGCATGCGCTGCACGCAGACCAAGTTCTCCACGCTCACGCGAAGGCACCACTGCCGCAAGTGCGGCTTTGTTGTCTGCGCAGACTGCTCCAGGCAGAGGTTCCTGATGCCCCGGCTGTCCCCCAAGCCCCTGAGGGTCTGCAACCTGTGCTACAGGCAGCTGCTGGCAGAAAAGAAGAAGGAGGCGGAGGCAGATGGCAGGCAGCCGGAGCCGATCCGCTCTGCCATCCCGGGCTACGAACCTTCCAGCGGTGATGACAGCGACAAGTCTGACGACGACAAAGCTGACCAGTGGCCAGCAGACACAGAGTTTTATACCTCAGAAGTATCCTGGTCATCTTTCCATAGCTGACCTCCTTGGGAGTTGGTGGCATTTAGACATTGGGAAGCCAACTTCTGGCCTCCAATGCATGTCCTTCTGATGTTTTCTCTGGAGGCCATGCCTAGGAAGGTGGATCTTGGCCCCTCTGTGTGGTGTCTGCCTGGGAAGCCGAGATGGGGTTACCCCTCTGAGGATGTGTCTCATACGACATGAGCACAGAGAGCAACAGCTCAGTGAAGACCACGGACTGGGGCAGAGACCTGCGGATCAGCCTTGGCCAAACAAGCTCACCCTTCAGTGCCTTAGTCTTCTCGTCTGCAAAAACAGAGTAATACTAACTTCTTTTCTCAAATACTTTGAGATTGGCTCTTGGGAGAAAAAGGAGCAACAAATTCTGGAGTTAAACATGCTTGCCTGCTAGCATTGCGTTCCTCTGTCATGGCGAGGGGTGCTCCGGATGCCATTTTCCATGAGCATTGCATCTATGTCAGAGATTCTCATTGCAGGTGTGCCAGCCTGGGGGGATTGCCACTCATCCCTGCATGATAAGGTCGGCACGGGCTTCCATTTCTACACCCGGATCTCTCAACTTTGGAAACACTAAGGAAATGGTGCTCCGACTGCAGGAGGCTCAGTGTGAGCAGCCTTAGCAAAGCACCGGAGCATCCAGCTCTCTCGGATGGAAAGAGGCCATTTTGGTGGCCCGGGCCAGGAGGGGAAAGGGACAGGTAAAATTATACAGAGGGGTGAGATACGGAGGGAGAGACTTACTGCAGTTGACTTAACTAAGTGCAGAGCCCCAGATGTCAAAAACCGGCCATTCCACTAGATTACCAACAACTTGGTGAACTCAAGCCTATCAGGTAAAAGGCTAGCCCAGGGAGGACTTGTTAAAAGTCTTGAAAAATCCAGGAATATGCCCCAAATTAAGATCCTATGAAGTACAGCACTTCAGCTTCCACGTCCCTCCCGAGCAGGAGCCCAAGGCATTGAATGCTCACTTGGTGGGCTCGCCTCATGTCTATCAGTCTCACGAGTCCAAAGTTAAGGTCCTTTATGTACTTCCAGGATTGGAGTCCAAGACTTTACAGTTAACTTGAGATCAACTTTAAAGTTCAAATTAAGTTAGAAATAAACCATGTTTATTCAAGTATTCTATCATAATATAGCGTGGGAGTAAATATACTGAAAATCAGACAACAGCAATTGTTTTGCAGCAAACATTTCTACAAACTCCATTACTACTTTTAGTATATTTTTGTATTGTGTATTTTATGCTCTGGAAAAGGAACATGACTGGGAGTACACTGCCAATGTTATAAACTCTTTCCTTACCATGACCTGTTCCAAACAGTGCATTATCTGCCAGATAGCCAGACTTAGGATTTTTTAAATTTCAGTTCAAAGTAATCATTCTTACCATCTTTTGTAAACTGCCACTGTTCCAATGAATTTGTATCACTTGACTGTGTGTGAATAAAGATATGGCCAACAGGAAGAAGCCAGGAAAATATGACAATAAAGCATGTTGTTATTTAACAAGAGTCTTAAACAAGAGCTGGGATTCGGGCCCGGCCGGCCAGCGTGAGTTCTGACTCCTCAGCCGTGGGGTGGATGCTCTGGATTTCTATTTACTGCTTGAAGGTAAGCGCGAGTGAAAAAAAAAAGGCCAAATCTGATGTTTCCTTTCTATTTATACCATGTTATCATCTGACCGAGTTTTCCCAAATCTTTTGCAATCCCCTGCAGTAGTCTGTATTAATTGAAATGGTATTTTTCCGGTGGGGGCACAGCTTAGAGTGGGTCAACAAACCTTATGACCTAAGCAGATGTTTTTGGGTTTTAAAGCAGTAAGTACACCGAGTCCTGTTTTTCCCATCCCTCTCCAAGCTTAGTTCATAACTCCGCGCAGCAGTGATTGTTTTTATGAGGCCTCCCACCCACCAGAAGGGTGTACATGCTATGCAAACAGAAAATGACCTTAAAAATAAACAGCCGTTAGAACGGTTCGCAAGCCAAAAATAGCCCAGCCGCTGAATCCGCGTCCATAGCTGGCGTTCCAGTTCCCTGCTCCTGAGGCGAAATTCCCGGTTTCTTCCTAGTAACTGACTCCAGAAATGTATTCGAGTTTTGAACCTACTCCTTAGTTCTCTTAGAGATCAGCTTTTCTTTCTCTTATGCGTCTGAAGACGCATATTATCAGCCCCGAAAGAGCTATAAACTGTTTTTATTCACTAATGAAGGACAGGCACGCCTCTAACAAATGCCTTCTTGTTGAGCAAGAGCTTTTCTTAATCACAGCAGGAAAAAAAACACATAAAAAACAAATAAAGTCCACCAAAAGCCACCCAGCCCCTTTTTTCTATGCATGCTGCAGTTGACGGCCTTTCTGGAAACGCACACACCTTCCAGCAACTGGTACAGCCCCGTTCCTTCCAGGAGGGAGGTATGGAGAAGAGTCAGGGGTGGAAAAGCTGCAACACTCTTGTGAATAGTTGAGAATAAGGGTGACTTGCATCCCATAGACACACTGCTACTTTGGAACATGGTGTTTTGGAGCCGAGGAGGTGCACATGAGCACTTGCACTTCCAGAGGCTTCTTACATGCACACTGCCTTGGGTGCGTTACGGTGCCTTCTCCCAGAGCTTTCCCTGTTCCCAGCCAGCGGCTCGGTGTTGCTCCAGCTCCGCAGCAGTGCAGGCAGCGTCAGGGTGTCACGCCGCGGCTGCTGCCCAGCGGGGAGACCCGGGAAGGCTGGGGCTGCCACAGGTTTGAGAAGATATTTCACATGGAAGCCCCAAGTAACCTAGTGACTCTTAAACTGTTAATACATATGCTAAAATGAGCCTGCCCAGGAAAACATGGGGAAATCTAAACAAAGCCTCTTCCCTCCCCTTCCTGTAGTTTTATTAGCCAAGCTGGGGAACTCAGCACTGGGATTAGAGCCTGGGGCTCCTGGCTTCAGGCCGGCTGAACACATGGGTTTTGCATCACGGGCTGTGCTGTTACAGTCCAGCCTGGAGTTTTCCAGCCTGATTCTATCTCCAGTGCATTAATGGGGCATTTCCTGATGGTTTGGGTTTTTTCTTTTTTGAGGTAAATAAATGCCTTACCAGGGATTCATTAAAGTTTGCAAACAATGCTACTAGGAAGAGCAGGAGCTTGAATGCTCACTTCGGAAAAACATCTGCAGGCTGGGGATTTTGTGGGGTCACATCCTCCCCCTGAAAGGCTCCCAGACGTGTGGGGATCAGTTGCCAGAAGGGCTTCCTTGCTCAGCCCCTGCCTGAAGGTGTCACGGCCCAAAGGGCACAGCACCGTGCAGCCGTCCCCGCTGCACACCAGCCTTCGCACTGCCCGACCCGGGGTGCGCTGGTTCAGGAAATCGGACTGGCTGAAAACTGCTCCTTCTGCTCCCTCGAGCAGAAACTGGAGCCCAGGCACTTTCAGAAAAATGCAAGAGTTTTTTGGCCCTCAGCAACATGGTTCCTTTTCAGCTGGGCACACAAGAGCGAGAGGACAGTCCCCGTAGCTGTCAGGAGCAAGAACACCACCAGTGCACTGAACACGGAAAGCAAAACTTGGATGTTATCATCAAACCTGATGAAACTGCAGGGGATTCTCCAGCAAAGAGACAGGAAAAGAGTTAAGGGCCATGCAGCGAGGCAATCCTCTTCTCTCCAAAGTCGGTAGAAAGGTGAAGAGGATGGCACTACTGTAGCAGCCAGTCACAAAAGCCGAAGGAAAGGTAACGGGGAGATTTGCTCTATGAATACGCTGAAGAGAAAGGATCAAAGAGGTTCAATGAAACACGTGCGCTCCGCTGTTCCGAGGCGCAGCCAAGGCACACCACCAACTCCAGTGCTGACTCAGCAGTTCACAAGCATTCGGAGGCAGCAGGGTGAAGCGAGCCAGCTTCACGGTCAGATTCTTGCTCCCAGTTACTCACTTAGTTTTTATCCAAGCAGGAGTGCTGGCTCTGCCGCAGCCCACGGCCTCTTCCGACTCACTACTGCTGCAAGGCAGTTTCTCATGTTCCTCAGCCTGGGATTTTTGGTTAGCAGGAGGAACTGAGGCGCACGGATGGTCCCAACTACTGCTGAGCTTTAAAGCGACGTGTCACCAATGAAAAATACAGGCTTCTTTTTCTGACTTTTTCTGCTCCAGGCGTTGTTGGCAGGAAGAACACTACTGTCACTTCTCTGGTGGACACGATACGGCAAAACAGCTCCAAGAAACCCTTGCCTGAAACCCGAGAGCTGGAGATGCTCTCCAGAGCACCTGGGGAGGAGCGCTGCGCTCCAGGGAAGCACAGGCGAAAGCACTGGGGGGCAACACACAGCCAGGTCTGCTTTACATTGCACGTCACAGGCAGGAGAAATCCCAGTGCCGCGCACACGTATGGGAAAGCGCCTCTCCTGCCCGCGCACTTGTTCATAAAACCTCCGAACAGGCACAGCAGTCAGTGCTGCCGTCCCGAGATGGCAGCTGGAGGAGACGAGGCAGGCAGGGAGGCGGCATCGAGTACTGATGAACCTGAGCGACTCCCTTTGAAGTTGGCATTTGACTTCATTTCCAGTAAGGCCTGGAAATGAAAATAAACCGTAGGCAGGTTTTCCATGAACCTGTTATCAAGAGGTTTATGACCAAGAGCGAGTTACACAACCTCCCCAGTTTGCTGCTGTAGGAAGGGCAGAGAAGAAGGAGGAGGGGAGCTAGACACGAGATTTTCTGTAGCAGAGCACTCTCGTGCACTGCCTCCCTTGCACGGTCAAACCAACCCAGGGTAGAGCATCCGCTGCCGGCAGCGATCCCGCTGCCCAGCAGAAATCCTGCTGCCCGGGCTGCCCCATGCAGTGAGGGAGTGCTGCACCCCTGTTTGAGCTTTGTCTAGCCTCTCCTTTTTTGTCCTAAAATCAATGTGTTTTGCTGAGAACCTTAGAAAAAACGGGATTTGAGAAGGGAAAAGCATTAACTCGAGGCCAAACCGGCCTCTTTTCCTCTAACAGACAGCAATAAGAAAAAAAAG